CGATGGCTTAGTGTGAGCTTTGAAGTATTGGGACTGTTCCCATACGGAATAACTTTCCTTTGATTGACTATACCCCAGGTTTATGATAATATGAAGCGAAACTCCTTTTATCGAGAGTATATTTAGGTAACCCCCAATATGTAATTAACCAGTAGGAACACGTTCCTCTGGGAGTGCTCTTGACCCCAGAACAGGTACATACACCTGACTCTCTGGTTATGGGTAGTCTATGTAGATACTTCTTTCGCGGATATTGGTTTAAGGTGTCTCCGCCCGATCTTGTTTGGGCGGACATTCTTAACCTATCTTTGCGAGGTTTATCACACGTAGACTCTCCACGTTTTACTTTTTCTCTTGTTTGTCTCTTTATCGTATGTCCTTTCTTATTCAATTCCTCTCCTAAATTCTCTCCACTTCGAATCATTTATATGGTTCGGGAGGGAAATTTATTTGAATGGGGGAAGTATACGACGATCGACAAGCTGGCGACTCCTTTTAAAATAAAAAAGAGAAAAATAAAAACGAAAACACACGTGTTATAAGAAAAAAGTTTCATCCATAGGCCTATATGCACCTCATACATGGCCACTATAAGCACAAGATACCTCTTTAAATACTAAATTCAAAACAAACATCACATTAATAGCCTTATAAAGAACCGCAAAGTTAGAACAAGAAACAAATTTCATTAAACCCTACTCAATAATGACTCCAAAATTACTGAACAAAGGATCAGAAGGCAGCAACAAATAAAAGAAACCAAAGTTATCACCGAATCCAACCCAATCTACTGTCGAAAATTAAAGGAAAAAAAAAACTAATTCGAAAACATAATAGCCCCTATGAGCATCCATGGTCAACGAACCGCTCATTCTAGCACAAAGAACCAATTTAGAAGGCATCAAAACAACAAACCGTCAAGTTTCAGCGGACAAACTCACAATAAACAACTAGATCACTGTACACCAGCTTCGAAAACAAAAATGCAAGAAAATAGAAAGTGAATAGGAACAAACTTTCGGGGCCTCCGAGCTGGGCGACAGCATCGACGAACCGCTCGTGGAGATCGGCCGTCCATCGGAGTCGGGGCTTGGGATCAGCCGTTAGCACTAGACTGGGGCTGTGGATCTCTTCCTGTGGAATCGATGCTTCCTGACGATGAATCAAGACAGGGAACATCTCCTTTTGAGAACAAAAAGAAGAATCCCAGAAGCTCAAATGGCCGTGAAAAGGGGAGAATAAAGAAATCTGAAGCTTTTAATCAGAAAGACCATAAAAGGCCACTTTGGTTTGGTTGGAGTTGAGGGAGACCTCTCCACCAAGCTAAGCCAGGAAAGAGAGAGAGAGGAGGGCGTAGGTTTTCCACTTTTGCTATTCAATATCTTGAAAAGTGGATAATTCATTTAAAATATTTATATAAATATAAGGATATATTTTTATATCTCCTTCAATAACAACACTAAAAAGAGCTACCCCATTTTAAACTGAATTCTAAATATATTTTCAATATCTAGTCTCTATTCACTTTATAGTTTTTAAAATAATATAAATAATGAACACTCCCTAGTTTTACATGATAATATCTTTATTAATATGTGTATATATTATTTATAGGTTTTAATTAAGATTCACTATCAAGTACTCAATAATTGGCATAGTTTTTTTTGCCAAGAAATCATGACATGAATCATTTAAATCATTGTTTTATGCTAGGGTGTCCCCCCTAAAAGTGATGCCTGTATGGCTTGAATACATTGAGAAATTTGTCAATGTTGTTATACCGGTGCCTAGGTCTAATGTCAAATAAATAAGTGGTCCCACATTTTGGATGGAAGAGGACAATGAAGTTTGTCCATGAAAATAATATTATGATAGAATCTTAGAACATATATATTTTTTCACAAGAAAATTAATGAAATTAGTAGATATTTTAGTTCATAGAAACATAAATCTTATGCATTTAAGAAACTAAATGGATTTGATAAAAGGATAATGAGATTGATAAAACTAAATAGATTTGATAAAAGGTTAATGAGATTGATAGCTTAGAATACAAACTTTGGTATTCAAGTAGGAGTCGCACTATAAATGGTGTAGATGTAATATAAATAAGATTTTGAAAATAATATTGCAAGAATTAATAGAACTTGAGATAGAATTATAGCCCAAAGATTATTGTTGATACTAAAATTTTAATGTTATAAATGCTCATGCTTCTCAAGAAGGTTTAGATATACATTCAAAAGTTCATTTTGGAATGACTTAGAAGTAGTAATATAAAGATACCTCTTGAAAAAAGAATTTTTATTAGAGGATATTTAAATCTGCATGTTGGTAGAGTGGTAGAAGATTTTAGAAATATTCTTGGTAGCTACAAATTTGAAGTGATTAATGAAGAAGGTAGAATCATATTAGATTTTGTTTTAACTTATGATTTTGTTATTGTTTATACTTTATTTAAGAAAAGATATGAGTTGTTATTTCTTATAAGAATAGATCTAATAAAACACAAATTAATTATTTTATTATGAGAAAAGGAGATCATTGTGAATGTAAAAATGTTGAGGTCATTCTAACTGAAAATTTAAATACTCAATATCGATTATTAGTTTTTTATTTTAAGATCAGGTGTTGCAAGATAAAAAATATAATGTAAACTTTTCATAGATTTAGATGAGGGCACCTAAAAGACACAAATAAAATTATTTTTATGAGGAAACTTCAAGATTTCAAGATTCGAAATATTCAAGAGGAAGCTAATTCTATAGGGGATCACTATTAAACAAGTGGCAAAAGATGTATCCGGAGAATCAAAAGAATTTTTTTTTTATAAATAAAAATAGTTGGTGGTGAAATAATAATGTGCAAGAAAAAAAATATAAGAAGTTATGCTAATAAAATTGGTTTAAGTAAAAAAACTTAGAAAACTGGGAAAAATATAAGGTTGTCCATAAAGAGTCTAAGAGAATAATTTGTGACACTAAAAATTCTACTTTTATTGGCTTTTATAATATATTAGATACTAAAGATAGTTAAAAATATATGTATATACAAGCCAAACAAAGAGAAAGTAAAGATTTAATTTAAGTAAAGTGTATTAAAGATGAAAATTAAAAAGAGTTTTTCTTATAAGAATATATTCAACATAGGTGAGTGAGCTATTTTGATAAAATTTTCAATAAAATTTTTAAAAATACAATTGACCTTAGCAATCTTAAAATCATTAATAATAATAAAACTTTTTTTTTTATTTTTACTGTTGCATTAGTGAAAAGGAATTTGAGGAGGCTTTAATGAAAACCAAGGGTGGAAAATTAGTAGGACCTGATGATATCCCCATTGAAGTGTGAAAATATCTAGGAGCTTGTGGAGTTTCTTGGCTTAGTGAACTCTTCAATATTATTTTGAAATTGACAAAAATACCTTAGAAGTGGTGGAAGAGTATTTCGATCCCCACTTTAAGAATAAAGGGGATGACAAGAGGGTGCAAATTATAGAGGAATTGAGTTAATGTGTCATTTTAAAATTGTGGGAGAGAGTAATTGAACATAGATTAGGACATGATATAAATATTTCTCATAATCAGTTTGGATTTATGTCGGGAAAGTCTACTATGGAAATTATACATTTATTGAGAGGTTTGATGGAGAAGTATAATGAGAGTATGGAGAATCTACAAATGATTTTTATTGATTTAGAAAAATTATATGATGAGGTTCTGATAGAAGCTCTTTGAAGAGCTTTAGAGAAGACAAATGTTGATATGAATTATATTCAAGTCATTAAGGATATGTATACTAGTGTTGTTACTTGTGTTTGAACAAAAGGAGGATTGACCAAGTATTTTTTTATTTCAATTGAATTACATCAGGGATCGGCTTTAAGCCCTTATTTTTTTGTTTTAGTTATGGATGCTCTTACTAGACATTTATAAGAGGATGTACCTTGGTGTATGCTTTTCTCCAATTGTTTCATTCTTGTGAATAAGACTAGAGAAAGAGTTTAGAGAAAACATGAAATATGAAGATCTACATTGGAGTTTAAAGGCCTTTGTTTGAGTACATCTAAAAGTGAATACATGGATTGTAATTTTAGTAATAGTTGCTTTAATGGCAAAATTGTTGCTATGGGTTATCAAATCATTAAAAGTTGTTAACATTTTAAATATCTATGGTTTATTGTTCAAAGTGATGGTGATATAGATGGGGAAATTATTTGTAGAATTCAAGTTGGTTAGTTGAAGTTGAGGAATGCATCAAGTGATAGGAAAGTATTGCCTACACGTAAGAAAAAATTTTATAAGATGGCGGTGAGACGTGCAATGCTTTATGGCATGAAATGTTGACCTTTAAAAGAGAAGCATAAAGCAAAGTTAAGTGTTGTTAAGATAAGAATGCTTAGGTAGATGAGTGGCTTGACACTTGGAGACAATATGCGAGATGAATATATCCATGAAAGGGTTGGTGTAGCTCCAACGACAGACAAGATTAAAGAGATTCATCTAGATGGTTGGTTACTTTAAATGTCGACCATATGATATTTTGTTTTATATTAGATTCGACTTATTAAGAAAGACAGAGGTAGACCTAAAAAAACTTAGGCATATTGAAGAAAAAATGATGTTAATATTTTAGAATTAAAATGAAAATATGACACTCAATAAGACATAATGGAGAAAATGATTCATGCCGACCCCACTTAGTGGGATAATAATGTTAATAATACTTTCTTATAAAAATTAATTTCTAGTTGAACTTATTTAAGTATTTGTGTATGTTTTAATGAGTCAAAGTGGAGGATAAGATATTTGAAGAAGAATTCATTATGAATAATTCACATATGAGCTCTATTTGTGAGTATAGTTGAATTGATTAGGAAACTTGATGATTTTACTAGAGAACTCTTTGAACAAATACGACTTTTATTCTAGTCAGTTCTACATAGAAATGGTTAATCAATGAAGGTTTATTGTGAATATTAACTTGGGTGATTTGAGGCTTTTGGTGAATTTATTAAAATGCTTAACGATTTATTGAATTTGGTTCATGATGATGATATGACTTAATAAAATTTGTTCCCACACATGAACTCTATTGTTTGACACTTCAATTAACATGCTACCATTCTGTTTGACAGTCAAGCTCATAAAGAATACCTTGAAATTTCAAATGATTTAAGGTTTAATATAATATTTGAGAAGTGCACTCTTTTATAGAGGAATGACGATTGAACGATTATTGATGTAGGAAGAAAACAAGGACCATAAAAAGAATAATTAATTAAATTTACTAATTTAAATTAATCCATGCTTATTAAAATAATGAAGACCTAATTTTTTTGAGTTAATATAATTTTCATCATAGCATATACTATTAGAAAACATTTAAATTTCCATTCAAAAAAAAAAAAAGATTTTGTGCCATGAGAATATGCAATTGGCATGAGAAAAAAACAAAACTTCATACCTTCTTCCTTGGTTGTTTTAGTTATAGTTTTGGCAAACATGGCAATTTGCATGATGGAGCACTTCATATTTATTATATTTTAGGGGTCCACTACATAGTCTACGACGCTTTGTCATGTGAAGCTAGCTTTACTTAATTTAACTTATTTGAATTATTAAGCTTTGGATAATAAGAAATGCTTTGGTAGTGGTTTGGAAATATTTTCATGGCTTCTATTTTATTGATTGAAGTGCACCTTCCACTGCGTGGGCACATGCCATGTGAAAGGAAGGCATTAGTTAGCTTAGTTGTAGCAATAGTTTATCATGTACTTATTTGTTATATTTCGTATATTTAATATTTTTAATAAGAAATAAAAGGTAATACAATCCTTGCTATTTGGATTGCATTTATTTAATATTATCAATAAGGAAAAATGTGTGTAGGGAAATATGTCTTTATTTT